CCCCAGGGGCCCGAGCATCAGAAACACAGAAAACATAAGGCATGGCCGACACAGAGACAACACGAACCCAGAGTGCTTGGGTCCCCACAGTGAGCACGTGTGCTTCACACTGAGTAACAGTGCTCACACCTGCCTGTCGGAGCACACGTCAGATGCAGCTCCTGCTGCATTCTCTGTGGTGCGTCCTGGGCACCCGGCCCCCATTCCCCGGAGAGTGGCTGTGAGACACGGGCTCTCTCGACACTTCCCTCCTGAGCCAGGACTCCCAGGACCTGGTCACCCACAGGGCCTGAGTTGGGGGGAATCCGCCTCAGCCGAGTGCAGCCGCTCTTCCGGGTCAGTCGCTCCTTTCCATCCTTGCAGTCTAACCAGCCTTGTTTCCAGCGCAGCTCGCCAAGAGTGGCTCTAACGAGAGGAAGAGAGAGAAACGGAAAGAGCCGCAGAAGGGGAGGGAAAGAGCTTCTAGCCAAGGACACAGGACTGAGGAACAGCGAGGACCCCAAGGCTACGCGCTTCAGGACCCCACTCCCCACATGGCGTTGGTGCCACCATCCTGTGGAGCTGGAGCAGAGGGCCCCACGAGGACGTCAAGGCCGTGGTATGTGGCCTTTCTCCACGCTGCTTCCCAGAGCCCTTGGGCTCTCCAGCAGCTTCCCTTCCTCCCTCCTTCCCTGGACTCTGTTCTTTCTTCGGCCCACACGGCTGCCTCAGCTCCCTGGGTGGGAAGCCACGCAATGCAAAGGATCCTCATGAGACCCTGCCAGGTCCTGGAGACGCCTGGCCCTCGCTGGAGGACGGGTCCATGCTGGTGTCTGCACTGCTCTCCTCTCCACACAGCGACTCTGACACTCACACACCAGGTGTCCCATTTATAGAAATACTTCACATCTTCCTGGCTGTTCTAGAATGAATTTCATATAACCTACTGACATTCATGGTGACACACATGTGCACACGCTCACAGCCCCCACAGGGCGGGATCTCAGGTATAACAAAAGTGAAAAGAAATAACTAAAAACACTGATATGGAAGATGTTGGGCACAGCCGCAGAAGTGTTCAGCAGTGAAGACTCCGATGCCTGTTCCTAGGTGAAGAATCGCTGGCATCAGAAGCTGCAAACTATTACGGTAGGACTCAGGTGCCACTGGAGCCCTTGCCAGCCCCTGGGGTTTGGACACAGTAGACCGTGGCTCCTGGTAAAATGTCAGCGTCACCAAGTTCTCGTCTCTCCATTTTCATGGCAGTTGTGCTCCTGAAAAAAAATCCATTGCTCATCAAAACTGCAAAACACAAACCAAAAGCTTTTGTTTTATACAAAGCATAGTAAGGTCCAGGGCTCAGGAAGTTGTAAGTAGGAAAACTCATTTTCAGAGTCAGACAGATGTGAGCTGGGCCTCCCTTGGATATGGAAACAGTCTCCAAGGATGGAGAGGGGCGGCTGCCTAGTGGCCCCAAAGCTCTCCCAGACGTGGCTCACTTCCCTGCTCGTGCCGCCCCCTGGCGCCTGATTCACCTAGTGTGATTTAAAGCACAAACAAATGTATAGTCAGACGAGCGAGGCGGACACTTCCTGCAGGAACTCAGCTTTGGAAGATCTTTCTCTCCTTGGTTTCAACACCTGACAGAGAATATTATTATAGAACCCCCATCTGTGCCTTTAAAGGAAAGAAAGATATTTTAATATGCAGTGTGGAACCATCTTTACAGGGAGAGTCACAGTGTGCTGTGGTGCCCACCGCAGGTAGGTGCCCTTTGTGGAAACTACACGTGCTGTCCCCCCGGTGTGCAGGGAGGTCATGAGGGGCCGGTTCCCCCTGGATCTGCAGGGCTAGGAGCCAACTGGCAAGAAAGCACTCATCCTGGAAGCTGCCTGGGTCTTGTGCCACGCTGGCCTGCAGATTCTAGTGCTAACTTCTGGAACTGCTCCTCTGTGTTTTCGATAATCTTGGGACATATGCTTTGGAAGCATTGTTTAGTGCTTGAATTCTTACTTGGAAATTGACTCTGGTTTACATTTTTCTGCATTGATTTTTTTTGGGGGGGTCAAAGGCTATGAAACTGGCTCCTTAAATTGGGAACAGAAACATACAAACTGGTCTCATTTGCTAATTTGCAGGCTGTTGAAAAAAGTTTTCAGCTTGTGTTTTATGGAAACTTGTTTTTGAGTCACAAGCAAAATAATCCCTTAGCCTGCCAGAATGGATCTCTGTTGGTGGCATCTGTCCCCTTGCTGGTGACCACCTCCGGGCACATTCTCTTTCTGAGCCAGGTGCAGGGCTGTGCCATGGGTACCAGCTTCTCCAGCTCTGAGGTCCACTGGACATGTCAGGAAGCCGCCCAGGCACTGGGCACCAGCTCTGCAGCAGCCACCACTACCCTGTGTCCTCCTGGACTGGGCTCTCCTGCCCTGATCACACTCCAATTCACCTCATTTTTTGCTGGTCTTCTCTGCTGGAACATAGTATCAGTGAAAACATGAAAACGTTAAAAATATAAGTACGAGAAAAATAACTGGAGAGCCCACAGCGCCCCCTCCTGGTGCCCCTGCCAGCACCTGACATTATGTTCTGGCCCAGGCAGCCTCTCTGCTGGACAGGGTTGAGGGTGAGGGCTTGTATATGTCTCCAAACGCTCCTGTGCTGGAAATTTAACCGTGATTCATATGCCAGGGATGTGGAGGAGGGTTTGGAAAGGAGATTGGGATTCTATGAGGTTGAGAAGTTGTCCCAGGTAGCACTCCTGGTTTTACAAGAAGGGAAAGGATCAGGGTGGCAGCTGTCTGTGTCGCTCCTGACAGTGCCATAGGAGCCCTTCCTGGATGCCAAGCACAAGCGGGGCCTTGCTCTTGGGCTTCCGGCGATTCTTCAGAGAATGTCGGGCCAGTTCGAGGAACAAAAAGCAGACCAAGACACCCTCATGAACTTTTCACCTCTAAATACACGTTCTTCCATAATATTTTCGTTGTCTGAATAGTAGATTATAATATTTGAGGCCACTCCAGGAGAAGATACTATCATTCTTTCCTTCTTCACCCTAACGAGTGACCTGATGCTGGACACTGGCTCTCCTGTCCCTGATGCATCCCAGGAAGCTAAGCTGTGGTCAAACTGAACAGTATGCCAAGCACCGTGAAGATCCAACCCCTCCTGCCTCCCACTGCCTAGCTGAGGTGGCCCGGAAATGCCTGCTCACTGTATCCTCCTCCATCTGGCTATCAGAAACTGACTTTGGTGAGGAGACACACAGATGAGAGTTGTCAGGTGCCCGGAGAAATTCACCCTTTGTCTGTCATCGGTCACTTTCGCAGCGCTCAGCTACGCTTGGTGTTAGGAACTAATGTCTCCCCTGAAACTCAGATTCTGCCTGGCAAATAAATTGACATCAATTTTCTCAATTTCTAGCTTCTTGTTGACGGAGCCTTCTTTGTGTTACTAGGCCTATGGGTTACTCTGCCTGCTACTCTGGGGGCTCTGCAAGGTGCTCTGAACAGCTTTCACTTTGCCCAAGACGTCAGCCCTTCTGGTACCTTTAGATGTGCTCTACATTGTATAACTTCTGGCACAGAGCATGGCCTAAAGATGTCAAAAGCGCAGGCTGCAGGGGACCACAGACCCCACCTCAGAGCACACAGTGGATGCAGGGCTGGGCCACGGCTTTCCATCCCATGGAGCCCAATCCTTGTGGCTGTGTCTGCATTTGCCAATGCCACACTGCTATGGTCCAGGTGAGCTTCAGGTACTGGAGCCAACCCAAGGGACTGCTCCTTCCGAATTCAGAAGCAACCCACTCGTCCTCCCTGCGGGGGCTCTGCCCACAGGGGCATGATCCGAACAGCACCTGCCTGGTCAGCTTCAGGTACTGAGTGTGAGGAAGCACACTTCTCTGGCCCAGCTCCTGTCCTGGCCATCACACAGTGTCACGTAGGAAATGAACAGAGGTGCTGCGGCTACAAGGCCACTTTCCCACAGACGGTTCTGGGCCTGGGCTGCCAGAGGGAGTTGCAGGGCACCTGCTCAGTGCAACATAGAGCATGGACCGTGGCCTCGATATTCACAGGGAAAAGCACCAGTGCTGAAGACTTTCCTGTGGAATGTAACCAGTGTCTCTGTCCCCAGCAGGAAATGGACACGGAATGCTGGGGCCACGAGCTTCATGTGATGGGTGGGGACCGGGAGTGTTTGGAGTTCCCTGCCCTCTGCAGCTGCAGGCTGCCAGATTTTGCTTCCTTCTATTTAGGCTTTCAAGTCAGCTATATCAAAGCTACTGTGCCATCAGGAAGGAACGGGCCTGGAGCTGCCTGCCTGGGCCATTTTCAGAAGCGTCCCATTTACCTGCCCATTCTGTGTGTGAGGGAGAGACAGACTTTCAGTTCCGTGGATGAAAGGTGAACACCAAATACTGCCCTGCTGGGTCCTGATTGCCAAGCCTTGAGCCAGAACTGCAGCACGAAGGCCCAAAGGGGGCTTCCCGGCGGGCTGGCGGGGGTGCACGCCCTGCACCAACCCTCACGAGCCACGTGGGGCCAGGTGCTCGGGCTTCAACGGAAGGTGCATGTGGTTGGTAGAGATGATTTGGAGCGACCTCTGGAGCTAAACCTCCGCTCCCTTACTGGGCCACAGCGCAAAGAAGTTGTAAGTGGCCTGGGCATTTCCTCCTCCTTCCGTTCTTCCATTCTTTCTCCATTTCCAGTTTTCTCAAGATGCAGTTTCCTTTTATGCCAGAAATAAGTCTAAGTGTTATCAATGTTTTTTCCCAGCTGCTGAAAAAAATTGATTTCTCCCTTCCTACTTTCCTGATATTTTCTCACTTTTTCCATAAGGCTTCTGTTACTTTTATAATGGGAAGAAGACCAATAATTTCATATTCGTGTCCTTTTAGGATCCAAAGGACAGTGGTGAGAGCCACCTCTCTCTGCATCTCATTGTGGATGAGGGGCGGTAGAGAACGCACTGCCCAGCACAGCCGGAACCAGCCTGATGCTGCGTGTGCTCTCTCCTAGGTGCCTCAGGATGAGTGGGGTGGGTATCCCCCCGGCGGCAAGCAGGACGAGATCCCCTGCCGGAGGATGCGAAGTGGCAGCTACATCAAAGCCATGGGGGATGACGAGAGCGGAGAATCAGACTCCAGCCCCAAGACCTCCCCAACGGTGGCCGTCCGGCCCGAGTCCCTGCTGAAGTCCATTTCACAGAGACCGCGAGGAGACCACCAAACGTAAGAAAGGCTGCCCTGTGCTCTGTGCACCTCCTCTCTGCACAGAGCCATGGAGCTGTGAGCCACTGTCCTCAGCCAAGCTTGTTGGAAACTGGGGAGCCTGTGGCCATCAGCCTTCACGTCTGTCTCGCAGAAAGACCAACTGGACGTTTGGTTATTTGTCTCAAGTAGTAATTAAGGAAATTGCTTGGGATGTCTGTGTCTGGTTTCCAAGCCAGTCTGACACAGCGTCCTTCCCCCTACCAGCAGGAATGTGTTTCGTGTGTGTGTGTGCGTGTGTGTGTGTGTGCGTGTGTGTCAGCCGGTGCACAGATGTGGACAGGGCTTCTCTGCTCCCTGTGCCTTCATGAGTGCATTTCTAGGCAGCAGTTTTGTCACAGTGGAAGAAGAAGCTGAGCTTTATAAACATGGTACTGTGTGCTGGGTGTGTTTGTTTAGACACATTATTGATAAATTCAACTTCCAAAACATAAACAGATAGGTCTCTTTGGGGCATTTGTGCTGCTGTGAGCTTTGAGAATATGAGATTGTACTGGGACAGTCCACAGCCTTATAGGTTCAGTTCTGCCCCTGGATGCCTCATCAGTGCCACGCGCCACCTGTGTCCTCCCTGTGTCCCTTTAGCAAGTTGCTTGTGTGGCAGAGGAAGCAGCTTCTTGGGGAAGCACAGAGGGGGAGCTCCGGGGTGTCCTCTCTACCATGCTACTGCTCATAATGCTGGGCTGTGGGGTGGTTTTAGGAACATAAGTGTGCAGGAGGAAGCTGTCTTGGTCACAGCTGAATCTCACCTGCAGCAGCCAATTGGCCCGCACTCCCACATGAGCGCCGCGTGTCTAGGAACAGCCCCAACAGCCGGGGTCGCCTCCTTCCTGAGCACGCTCAGGCCTGTGGAGAAGCCCTTGGTGAGTGCAAGCACTCAGGCAAGAGGAGCTCCATTCTTCTTCTATTTTCCAGTGAGCTGCACAAGCACACCATCCTCATTCTAGAGTTCAGTTTGTACCCCACAAAGCTGTTGAGTTTATCATCAACACTGGCAATTGGGAGACTGTATTTAAAATGCTGTTGGGAATAATTAGATGTACCAGTGCACTGAGTATCGCTCCCCCTTTTGCACCCCAGAACTTCCCAGCAGGATCGGATCCAGAGTCTCCTAAGATACTACAGAGACTCAAACAATGAAAATAAGAAAGCATGTTGGCTTCGTGTATGACATCTTTACACACCTCTTGGTGTGCACAAACACCTGTCCTTAACCCTGGCGGTGTCTGAGAGTGCAGTGTCGGGACAAGATGAATGTAGTAATTGTGCCCTAACTTCAGCTGGATTGGCGTGGTTCACACGCTTGTGGTTGGGTTATCCTGTTGTACACTGGAGCTGTGGGAGGTGAGCACATCCATGTCCTCTGCCAGCTGGGTCCGTGCACACTGAAAGCCTGGCCTTTGATTGGCCATTACCAGGTCGTCTGCTGAAGCATGCGGTAGGAAACTGCTCTGCAGAAAGACTGACGAATGGGAACAGAGCCAGGGTTATTCTGTGGAAGACAGTTCGCTTTCTGCCGTTGAAAGATCTGTCCCAGTCCTCTTGTTAATGGCTTAAGATGCACCCTTATTATTCATATAGCATTTGCACTTTTCCCTCACCATAGAAGGAAGCCTTTCACTGTCGAAAGAAACGACAAACCCAACAGGCACAGTCCTAGTCACGCCTGTGCTCATGCTGCTGGGTGTTCTCAGTACCTGAGTTCACAGATCAGGGACTTTAGGGGCAGTGTGCAGGACAGGGTTCAGCTCCCTGGAATGCTGGTTTCATGTTGCTACTGAATCCAGCTCATGTCATTTTCAAAGCGGCTTCTGCTCTAGTGTCTGAAGTACTTGAATTAACAATTTAGTCTCAGTCATTATGAACGCTAGACCAAGGAATGTCTTGGGAACCTCTGGGTTTTTCTGCTTACTTTATTTTTTAAATCAAAAATAATTTTTAGCGCCTCTGAGTCATCCTCAGGTGAAGGTAGTACTTTAGACTTATAAAGAAAGGAGAATTTATTTGCAGAACTACATTCTAAAGTAAAGATGAATTCTGACAGATTAAAGTATCAAAATTGTATATGTACACACATCCATACATGGTCATGTACTTATGTACAAACATAAATATGTATTAACATTCTATAATATTTGGGTAGAGGAGAGGTATTTATTTACACTTGGTCCTATGGGGAGGAAACCATCAGACACAGACTCATTGAACCCCAAATTTTAAAAGTGTATTTGTGGCCAAAGCAAACAAACCAACAAATTGAAGGTACTCTTTTGCTGTGGTAAAACAATAGTAATAACCTCAGGAGGAGTTTTGCAGTATAAAAAATAATGTGCTCATATCCTTCATATGTAAAGATCCTTTACAACTCAAATATATTGCTATGATCTAAAAATAGATAATTATAAAAAATTAAAACTTTTTTTCTGCCTCCTGCCTTGCAAGCACAAGGACCTGAGTTTGATCCCCGGTGCCAAAAAAAAAAATTTTTTTTAACTTTTTGCCTCACAAGCACTCTGGAAATCTTACAAAGATGTAAAAAGTAACGCACCACACTGATTGCATATTGTCTTGTATATCATCATAAGTAATTGTGCATTCGTCAGGTGCCCATCCTCAGTGGATTGGGCCAGAGAAGGAGCCGGCCAAGGGCAGCCCTCCTCACCAGCTGCCACCCTGGGCAACAACTCTGAAGACAACACGGTATTACCACAAACCGGCAGAGGAGAATCTTCAGGGTTGGTGATAAAGGGTGGAATGGGATGGGGACTGTGTGCCTACCTTTGGGGGCAGCCAGAGAGACGGACCTTACGAGAAAGAGAGGGAGAACACCTGCACATAGAAATCATGCTGTCAGAAACAGAGTTTGTGGCTGGCTGAGTAGCAAGCAGTGAAATTGGAAAATGGGTGGATGGGTCAACAGAAGCTACCAAACTGGAGCTCAGGGAGGAAACACTGGGAGACGAAAAGCAGACACGAGTCTCCAGGAGCTGTGGAAAACATCAGTGGGTCCAGCACACACACAGTTGGGATCCCAGGAAGAAAGCAAAGGAGAGCTGGACAGAAGAAATAAGCCCTGGAGCATGACAGAGGGAGGCCTCCATGAGACGACTACCAAAGCAGACCACAGACTGTCATGCACATTACCTCCAAACTACCAACACGAGAGCTACAGAGAAAAATCTTAAAGAAAACACTGCACACAGAAGAGCAAGGGGTCCAAGATGTTCATCATGAACTCTTCAAGCCACAGGACAATAAAGTGACACCATCCAAGTAATAAAAGCCTGTTCTCCAGAATTCCAGACCGAGGAAAATATCTGCCATAGATAAAGGGAAATAAAGACTTTCTTAGAAACAAAGGCATAGGGAGAGAAGGAAAGAAAGAAAGAAAAAGGAAGGGGAGGAAGGAAGGAGGGAGGGAGGGGCACAGGCAAAATGAGAAAGCAAACCTGTGCTGCAGGCAATGTTGAAAGAAGTCTTTAAGCACAGACATCAAAGAGCGCAATCATAGCACACGTAAGAATAGGAAGAAAGGAAGAACTCTGGACCTTGGTGTCGGAGGTAGCTGCACAGTAAGCATTTGCCGAGACTCACGGAGCTGAGCAGAAAGTGAGAAAGGCTGCAGGTTGAGAACCTGGAGCAGGGCTGCAAACCCTAAGGAAGGGAGAGGCAGAGTGGAGGCATGTCAGCAGCACTCTGAGGTGGGAGACAAGTGTGACCTGGGAACGGGAAGAGGAGCCCCCCCAGACTGCTGGTACATCCCTTTCCTTTCAGGACACACCCCAAAAGGCAACTGAGGCCATGGGATGCTCCAGGCACCTTCTCCCTGCCCCCACTGCCTCTGGCTGGAAGGAGCTGGCTGCCTGTGGACACTCAGGTGTGCACCTTGCTCTGCCGCAGGCCTGCACTGGGCAACTTAGCACAGCGCTGGAAACTGGATGACTGCTGCACCGCCTGACTAGCTGGTCCCTAGCAAGTGGCCTTGTGTCAGACGTCGGGGGATGCAAACTCCCCAGGACAAGGTGAATCCAGGCACCAGTGCGAACATCTGCACTCAAAGAAGCTGCGGCCGGCGCATCAGTCATTTGGAAAGGTGAAGTGAGGGTCCCCAAGCCACTTTCCATGTGGCCTGCAGCCTCGACTCCCGCGTTGCCCAGTGTTGGGTCTCAGAGCCTCCTCAGGTGCACCTGACGCTGCCAGCAGTTGCAGCCCAGCACCCCTGGCCGGTTTGCACCTGGAGAGGCCTCATGGTGTGAGCCGACCAGACAGAAGGTCGGTGCTCCAGCCTCCTCGACTCTGGTAGCCCGAGCCTCCATATCAGTGCTCAGGCTCGCCACGTCCCGGAGCTCCGGAGCCAGGTGCCCTGCAGTCTGTCCCTTCCGTGCCACACTCACTATGCCACTGTGTGGCTTCCCGGCACCTGAGCAGCGCTGAGACAGGAGCGGCTCCCTAGCGCCACCCGCGAGTCATTCTACAGTATCCTGTGCTCCGCCCTTGCTGAATGCCTGGAGAAGGCCAATGTCCATGGACCTGGACGGAGCTGTGCTGGTCCTCCTCGACAAGCCGCCTGCCACGGCAATTCCTTAGGCTGGGCGGAGCAAGAGGCAGTGTCACACGCCAGTCCTTGGCACCTGCGTGTCAGTGTCGGCAGGCTGGGCACTGGCCTCCTGACAGCACAGCACTTTGCAGTCCACAGAGGGCCGTCTGCTCCTGGGGGTGGTGTCCTCGCTCACGGCTTCCCTGCCCTGTGGGTGGGAGGCTTCCAAGGCCCGTGTGTGAGGAGGAAGCCAGGTGTGGTTTCTGCGCCTGGCTGTCTGTGGCCGCTCTCAGCACAGGGAGTGTGCGGCCCTGAGGATGAGCCCCGGGCCAAGCACCGGAAGCCTCTCCACAGGGCCAGGTGTCCACAGTCAGGGGAAGGGCACTGACGCTGGGAGTGAGAGCCCCACACACCTGCAGCCTCC